CCGACATCACAGCACAAGGATGGACAAGTAGAAACAAAAATATTGATGATTGTATTAGAGAATTTCAACTTAGAGCCGTGCAATACGAAGATGCAATTGAATGGATTCAATTTGATAGATTATCCGATGTTAACGAAATCGGCAAAGGTGGATTTGGCTCTGTATATTCTGCAACTTGGATGGATGGCATACGAAAAATCGATGAAAATGAAAATAAAAGAGCACGTAAACCAACCAGCATCGTTGCACTCAAGACCTTGGCCGATATTAAGGAAAATAATTTTGATTTCTTGAAAGAAGTAAGTTAATTCGATGTAACTTAAATATTTATTTATTTATTTAATAGAACTAATTCGTTATAAATTTTTAAAAGTTTAAAAGTCATATGACATGTAAAATAAATTATAGCAATCTTGCAATTTATGGAATAACTAGAAATACAAAAACAAACAAATATTTGATGGTGTTTCAGTATGCTGACAAAGGAAGTCTTCATAAATATTTAAGAAATAATTTTAGAGAACTTACTTGGCAGGCTAAATTGCAATTACTTCGAAATATTTCAGATGAATTAGATAGTGTCACAGGTTGGAAACTTGTAACTTTGGCGGAGTAATTAATAAGTGGCTTAAACTACTTCGTTGCGGCTTGGAAAGCAGAACTGTTCCAAGTTTATATGGGCTGGGTGGGTGGCGTTAGGACAGAACTGCTTGATGTTTATTTTATTTTATTTTTGCTTATTTCATATTTTCTTTTATATATTTATTTTTGTCTCTTTAAGTTTTCTTTTATTGTTATTAGCGAACAGAACTGTTTTGTGCTTAGTTTTTTTCTTTTATCCTTTTATATATATTGTATTTAAATTTTGTTTGTGATTTGAACAGGACTGTAAGATAGGCACTGGCAGCGTAAATAGCTCTGAACAGAACTGTATAAATTAAGTTTTTGTGAATAAAAAAACTCGTTGTATTTTTATGGTATCATAAAGATATAAAAAGAGTGCCTTTCCGCACTTGAATAAAGTTCAGACTTCGGTGTCTTTAAAGTGATAAAAGAATCGACTTCTCAATTGTTGTTAGTTTTTGCATTGTTACTTATAATCGCGTTACCTATAAAAATTCGTTATTGTTGTCTTCGTGTTACTTGTAATTTAACCCCTTAGACTTAGTATTTGTTAAATTTTAAATTAAATCCATCAATATTAATTAATAGTGATTGGATTCCTTAAATTGATAAATTACCTGATCTCGCGTGCATAAACCCATAATATAAGCCATCGTGCTTGGTTCTCCTTTTGTTTATTAATCTTCGATATAAATCTTAGATAATATATCCCGTTTACTATTGAAGCTAAATTGGACCAACTGTTGTTTTTGCTCTCCCATCAATAGTGACATTTGGTGCCGATTGTGTGGAATTGAACAATCAAAGAATATAGTTAATAAACCAATTAAAATACGAAAACTGTAAGAATGGCTCAACCTCCAGCTCAACAAAACCAGTTCAACCCGAATAACCCGTTACATAATTTAGCCAACCAGATTGCTTTGTTGGTACAACAAATGCAAGCTATGCCACCTCCACAAATTAATCTTCCTGCAAATCCCCGGGAACTTAATACGATACCTTATCCTGAATTCCACGGGGGTGATCAAGATCCAATAACTTGGCTCGAAGACGTTGAAAAAGCCTTCGAAGCTAATATAATCCTGAATAGAAGAAAAATTTCCGTAATTATCCCGAAGTTAAAAGGTCCTGCTACCACTTGGTGGGTTACCCAAAGGATTCAAAATCCTTTAATAGATAGATGGCATGATCCCTTAACACCACAACAAAGTTTTACAGCAAACTTTGTTGCCAAGTTTAGAACTCCGGAACTTGAGGGTAAATGGTTTGCCCAATTGACCCAAAGGAAACAATTACCTGGGGAAAGTGTGGATGCTTATCACACTTCAATAGAAGAAATGATTAGACGTGTAGAGTCTGGTGGACATCAGTATCCAGATACGGTGAAGGCTCAAATGTTCGTTAATGGACTCCGTTCCGAATTATTTATGGCAGTGTCTCCCTTAACTCCGAATAATCTAGATGAAGCCTATACTAGGGCAAAAGCGTTTGAGAGTGCTTATAAGCATAATCCTGCTTATGCCGCTTATTCATCTCAAACTATAAACTATCTACCTTATAGTTTTCCCTGCACTGTTAACAATACTCCCGTAATTCAAGCTACTCCTAATGAGACCACTGAAGCCCTAAAGAGTTTAACCGATTCTATTAATAAGCTAATGGTTCAAATTCAAGATCAGCATAGACCATCCCGACTAAGACAACCAGGAAATTATGTACTACAAGGTGTTACCTGTTTTAATTGTAGTAGACCTGGACATTATAGCCGGAACTGCCCCGACTCTCCTAACCTGCTTAATAATAACCCTAATAGAAATAGACCTCTGTTAGCAAATAATCAAAATAACCAAAACCATAATAACGAACCCAATCCTGTTAATAATCCCCCTGAAACCAATCCCCAAGATACTATCCAAGCCCTATTATCGCTAATTAATAATTCTACAAGTACTCCGGAAAACCAATCCTCGTATTTGGGTATTAATGAGGAAGATAAGACTTTATTCCTCCTAGCTGAAAGACATACTCGCCAAAAGCCTATAAGTGGTACCTCAATACTTCGGAAGAAGGATGGCGAGTCAAATCAAGAAGACTTGATTGATATGGAAACCGAGGAAGTTGTAGATCCTGATGTAGAAATGGAAGAAGATCAAAATCATCAAGATCAAAATAACCCAAGTCCAAAAGAAAAAGAACCGGAAGGTCCACCCAAAATTGTTAAGAAAGAAAAACCAAAAGAAACGCTTAAGAAAGCCCCTGTACCTCGTCAAAAGATAATTGAAGAAGAGTTGCCCCAAATTTCGTCTTTGGTTACCCCTTATTCTATTGTAGCCGATTTGAGGGATAAGCCTGCTAATATTACCGTCAGCCAATTGTTAAGAGTAGTGCCTAATTTAAGGCAGGAGTTAACCAGGTCATTACAAAAGAAAAGAACAATTGTTATGAGAAAGACCCAAGCTAATATTAACGTACAACCTACCTCAAAGTCAACAGCCTTGTATTGTGATGCTAAAGTTTATGATAAGACAATCCCATTAATTGTAGATAGTAGTTCGTCAGGTAGTGTTGTTTCCTCTCATTTGCTTAATGATCTTGAAATAAGAATTGAGAAGCCATCCGTGGTTAGTATGATTAATATTCACAGGGAGAGTAAACGTGCTATAGGAGAGATCTCAAATTTTCCGTTTAATATTGGTGGAGTAAAAATTCCCATTGATGTTGTTATAACCGATGCGAGCTCATATTGTGCAATCATAGGCAACGACTGGTTAGCTAAAGTAAATGCTAACATCGACTGGACCAAATCGGAGATGACTCTCTTATGGGAGGATAAAGAAATTTTGGTCCCGGTAAAGTTTCGGAAGATGGTTAAGACGCCGTTAGAAAGAGAAAGGGTTGTAGTAGTAAAAGATATAAAAGAAGTTCTTGGAGGTAGATACCTCTAATGTTATCATGAATTGCTTAGATAAGAGGGTTTATTGCCAGAACATAAAGTAGTGGAGAAAGTGGATCACCCTGTCGAACTCCTCTTTTGACTCTAAAAGATTTTGAGATTCTACCTTGATCTAAGATATAAGCTTGTTGAGTTGAGAATAAAAACTTAATTATATTCACAAACTTTGAGTTAAAATTTATTTTTTCTAGAATAAGCTTGATAAATTGATGGTTAATATGATCAAAAGCTTTTTGTTGATCAAGAAGAAGGAGCCAATGTTGTTTTGATTGATTATTTTGATTCCTTAACACTGTGATAATATCTAGAGCAGAGTTCATGATTGATCTGTTAGCTATAAAAGCCTGTTGTGAAAGGCTAATAATGCTATTACATATTGAATTAAAGCAATTTGCTAAAATCTTCATAAAGATTTTTGCATCTTCATTCATGAGTGAAATTGGTCTCCAGTTGTTAATATCTTCTAGATTATTAGTTTTCTTTGGGATAAGAGTAATAATGCTTTTACTCCAGGATTGAGAACTGAGTCTACTATTAAGTACATGGTTAAAAAGCTTAGACAAGATAAAAGAATTTTCTTCTTGGTATCCTTATAAAATTTGTAGGTTAGACTATCATGTCCTAGTGATTTGTTGTTTGGAAGTGAGTTAATAATATTACTGATTTCCTCTTCTGTTATGACTTTTGTTAAGGAATGATTCTGTTTTGACAAAATTTCAGAGAGATTCTGTGTTAACTCATTTGCTACTTCAAGATCGATAGGGTCTGTTTTATAGATATCTGAATAGGAGTTTCTTATATATTGGAGCAAGGCTGTTGGATCTGAGGAGCTAATATTATTTGGATCAGCTATTCTGATACTGCATGAGGAAGAATGTCTAGCTTTGTAAAGAGAAAAAAAGTATTTAGTAGATTTTTTTCCTTCTTCTATCTATTTAGTGTTAGATCTGATTTGCTATTTCTCTGACAAAAGTGTAAGTTCCTCTTGTAGTTGTAATTTAAAATTTTCTGCTGAAGGTTGAAGGTCTGCTAGAGCTAGGTTTCTAGCTATCTTGTTATTGATTGCAGTTAATCTCTTGTGAATAGCTTGTATAGCTTTTTCTGGTACTAGTTTTTGCTTAAAGACTCTGCATATAGACTGGAAGGTAGTTTTGTAGGAGTTCCAGTTGTTAATGTCTTATATATTTTTGATTTCTCTGAGGATTTCTGATTTGAGATTTGGGATTGACCAGTATTTTCTATTAAATTTCCAGAAAGAGCTATGTGTAGGTTCTGAGTTAAAAGCTAGTTCGCTTTTAACAAGAAGGTGATTAGAGTTTCCAAAACGAGTACAAGTGTTCTTGCAGAATTGGCTATAATTTGAGTCAATAAATATATAATCTAGTTGTGTAGCTATTTTCTGATTACCTTGAATGGTCTAGTAAAATGTTAGAAAAGGCCCAAGTTTGGCAAACTCTGCAGTATCAATAAAATCTGCTATAAGAGATTTTAGCAAATCACAGGAGAGATCTTTTTGGGAAGAAGCCTAACTAATTCGATTTTTGTCTGAATTGGTATTAATATTAAAATCACCAGCAATAATGTTCACTACATCCTCATCTCTTGCTGGGGCCCAGTTGTTGAAAAATTTCTTCTTTCATCTTGTCTTAGAGGAGCATAGATATTGGTGATAAAATAGTTGTAGTGTTGAAATAAGGTTTTTGTTTGAAGTATATGTCCATCTAAGAACTCTTGAGAGTTAGAGAATTGGATTTTTTTGTTTCCAACTAGAATAGCTGTTTTGGAAGACCAAATTGAGTTGTAGTTCTATTGTTGTGATAAAAAATTTCTAATTGCAGTATCTGTTAGATTTGTTTCTTGCAAAAAAATAATATCTAGTTTATATGACTTTAAAAGAGTAAGTGTTTTTTGTACTTTAGACTTATTGTTTAAGCCTTTGATATTTAGAGTTTCTATTTTGATTTTGCTTATATTAGAGAGTGATTAAAGAGATTTGGTACTTCTGAGTATTTTAATACTCCTGATGGCATTTGCCCTTCATTTCATTGTCCGAAGAGAGGTCTCTTTTTCTTAGTGATCCAGTTGGTTTAGGATGACTTTGATCTCTTTTTTTTATCATTTTTCTGGATTTCTTTGAGATAGCGATAGTGAAAGGTTCTTCTTTTGAGTTACTATCTGCATTAATTTCCATAGAGTCTAAGTCTTGCTCAGTATTTGGGTTCTCATTCACTGCTTTTGGAGAAGTGAAGGAGAAGGATTCAGTAATCATTAGCTCTTGGGTTTCTAAGTTATTTTCTTAGTTATTTTGAACTGAGTTTCCTTCAAGTAACTCTGAGAAAGGTTGGTTCAAGTTAGCTGGGGGAGTAGAAGTATGCTGAATCATTAGACTTTTTAGTATTTGCTGCAGAGTTAGAGATATAAGGATTATCTTTGCTAAATTCTGAGATTGAGTTTGAGCTAGGTTTGTTTTTTTGCATTCTTTTCTCTTTTTGAGTACGTCTCATTTCAATTGAGAGTTTAAGATCTTCATAGTTTTTTTTGACATGTCTCTCCTTTTTGCAGTAGTAACACACTTTTGGAGCTTCTTTCCAGTCTGTAGTGACTTTATGATCTCTTACATGAGTGCTTCTAGAGATTCTTGAAGACAGGTCTGGATCGTCTGTTGTTTCAAAAGAGATAATCTATTAGTCTGAGCAGACTGAAGTTCCTTCAAAAAGTAATAGTTTAATTGAAGTGATCTGACCAAGATCCTAGAAGGCTTCTATAATGAGAGTACTTTTGTTTTCTTTATCTCCCATTGGAGTATTTCTAAGTTTAACTGAGAGAAAAGTGCAGCCATAATTAATAGGAATATAGCTAAAAAGGGTCTGTTTGAACAGATTAATTCCTTTGTATTCGTAATATTTCTGGGTATCTTTGTTATTGAAAATTACTTCTAAGTAAGCTCTTTTGCCTTTGATAATATGGGCTTTAGCTACAATTAATTTGTCTTCAAGCTTTGAGGCAAGTGCTAGGATAATATCATTTGTTATGATATTACTTAAGCTTTGGATATCAAAGATGAAAGCGTTTTTATTTTTAGAATGAATTTTGAACCTAGGAGAAGGCTTGACAAAAGTTGCTTTGCCTCCTCTCAGCTTGGTGAACAAGTCAGACCACTGTTTGGGCTTAGAAGTATTTGCCTCTTCATTATTATTAATCTGGCTGTTTGTTATAGTACTAGAGCTTAGAAGAGATGTGAGATCATCTTGATTTTTAGTCACGTGTTTTTTGTCTGATTCCACGTGTTTGTTTTAATAATCTATGTGTTAAAGATTATCAGTTGTTATTTTTTCTTTGTTTGCTACGATCTTTTTTGTTTGAGCAGGAAAGGAGTTTTTCTTGTTATTTGATAACATTTCTTGTTTAACATTATTAGCCTAGCTAGTATTTTTATAGAGGTCTTTGTTTGAATTAGTCTCTGAGTTTTTGCTTGATCTTGTGTTGTATCCTAGTTCTGTTTTGTTTGAAGTTTCTTTCTAGTTCAAAGAAAGGTTAAAGATTTTGTTTTTAGTATTTTGGTTAGAAAGCCTAGGTTTTTTGTTTCTAGAGCTGTTCATATTAATAGCTAGTAGTTTTCTTTTCTTGTTTCTTAGGCTTGTTGCCTCTAAAAAGTGTATTGTTGAAGAATTTTTTATGTAGTTATCCAATATTTTAGATTTGTGCATTCTTCAATTTGAAGAAAAGCAGAAAGAGTTAAAATGTTTTGGAGTTTGAGGTTTTTTAGTACACCAAGGGCAAAATTCTGCTTCTAGTGATTCTATGTGTTTGAGTCTATAGCCAAGCAGATGAGATCTATGAAAAAGATACCAGTATATATCTTTTTTCTTGTTTATAATAGTTTTTGTAGATAGCCAGTTTGCTGTTAATAGATCTAGTATTGTATATTCTTGAGAAAGAGTAGGCTCTGTCTTTCAAAATATTTGTAAAACTTTGTTTACTGTAATTTCGTATCCTTTAAAATTACTTAGCAAAATTTTATCTTTGTTTCAGAGCCAATTTGTATTAGCTGAAATTTTGCCTTCTGCTCTTTTCCAGACCAAAAAGTAGAGTTTTCATTCTGTAGACCAAGCTTTAGATCAGATATTATCAGCTGTTAGTACTTGTAATAGTGAAGTATCTCTTTTATCTCTAGAAATTAATTTGATTTTGTCTCTTTCATGTTTTGCTCAGAAGTGCTCTGATAAGAGTAGCTTAAGCCAAACTGTTATTAGTCGCACATCTAGCATATCTTTGATTATAGGAGCTTGTAAACCAAGTTGCTCATATAATTGTTGAAAAACTGAATATCTTGGAAGCATATGGGATTACTCTTGATCTATAATGAAGTTAGTCTATTTATCTCAGATACCTGCTTCCTATTTGGTAGGAGAAGGTAAGCTATATACCATATTTTAGAGAGTATAAGTAATTTGGCAAGCAGAATTTTCCCTTTAAAGGATAGATTTCTGTTCACAAGTTTGTCAAGTGAGGATTTGAGATTGTTTATAGTAGATGTCCAGAGGTCCTTTTTAGGAAGACCATTAGAGTAAATACTATAGCCTAGTGTTGTTATGAGTTCATTCTCTTTAACTACATGTAGTTCATTTGATTGTGGTAATTCTACTCAGAATGCTGTTGATATAAGAGGAGCTAATTTTGTTTTGGTTTTATTGATTCTTGTATTAGAAGCCTGTTCATAAGTTTCTAGAAGCTTAAGAGTGTATTTCTAGTCTGAGAGAGAGCTAATTCCTACTGTGAGATTATCTGCATAGGCTATAGGTTTGAAAGACTAATGTCCTAGTTTAATGCCTTGTAGATTGTTTTTCAGATTTAGTAACAAAGGTTCGAAGGCAAGTATATATAAAAGAGGTAAGAAAAGGTCCCTCTGTCTTATTCCTCTTTCTATTCTAAAGGCTTTTGATAATTCTCCTGTCTCAAGAATATGAGCTTCTTAATTTGTGAAGAGGTTTTTAACTAAAGAGATAAACTTCTTGTCAAAATTCATTTTCTCTAAAACTAGTTCTAGAAACTCATGACTTATATAATTAAATACTTTCTGTTAATCCAAGAAAAGCATCTAGTGTTGCTTAGTATTGTCTTATTGATTTCTTAGTATTGTTATGATATCTATTGCAGTATCTGATATTGATCTGTTTTTAACGAAACCTTGTTGCTGTGAAGAGATTATTTCTTGGTATATTATATTTAGTCTATTTGCTAAAATTTTCATAAAAATTTTTGCATCACTGTTTACTAGAGAAATTGGTCTCTAGTTATTTAGATTCTCTAAATCTGAAGATTTTTTTGGAATAAGTGTAATTAGGTTTTTGCACTAAGATTTAGATAGAAGACCTGAGAGTAGTACTTGATTAAAGAGATTATGTAGTAGAGGAGTGATCACTTTCTCTGTAAGCTTATAGAATTCATAAGTAAGACCATTAGAGCCAGATGACTTGTTATTCAGTAAGCTTCTAATTGTATTTCTTATTTCTTTAAGAGAGATTTCTTGTGTTAACGAGGAGTTTTGTAGCTCTGTAATTTGTAGAGCTTCTTTAATAATTTTATTTGCAGCATTTAAATTAATATCTTCTTTTTTGTAAATTTTTGAGTATTCTTCTCTTATGTAAGAAAGATTATTATCTTTGTTCTGAGCTGTATTCAGAGGATCTTTAATTTCACTAAGAGCTGAATGAGATTTCTTAGATTTATATTTTGAGAAGAAGTATTTGGTCAATTTTTCTCCTTGTTCTATCCATTTGTTTTAGAGTAGAGTTGTCATTTTTCTGCTAGAAGGGTGAGTTCTTCTTGCAGTTTGGAGTTGAAATTGTCTGCTTGAGCAGAAAGGTATACGTTTGTAGGGTTTTCAGCAAGTTTTTTGTTTATCTGAGTAATTTGTTTGTTGAGTATCAATATTTTGCTTTCTAGAGTTTTTGGTTTTTGAAAGCCTTAATAATTGATTAGATATATATTTTGTATAAGTCCTAATTATTTGTGTTTTCATTTTCTTATATTTCTTCTATTATTTCTTTTTTTAGTCTCTCATTATAGAAGCAGTTTTTGTCAAATTTCTATAAAGGTGACTTGTTTGAATTTGGTATAAACTTTAGCATACATTCTACTAGAAGGTAGTTAGAATTACTAAATTTGGTATTAGTTTTGTGAATAGAGTATGTGTAGTTTTTATCTATAAAGATGTAGTCTAAGTAAGTTGCCATCATTCTGTTTCCTCTTATTTTTTGAAAGAAGGTATAGAATGGTTTGTTTGTTGCAAGCTCTGAGGAGTCAATAAAGTTTTTTGTAAGGTCTTTAAGCTAAGCTCTAGTTGGATCATACTGTGGAGAGAACTCACTAATTCTATCATATTCAGAATATATATTAATATTGAAGTCTTCTGTGATAATATTTATTATATTGTCTTTTACTTGGGGGACCAATTGTTGAAGAAAATTGATTATTCACTTTGACTAGAAGGTGCATAGATGTTCTAAGCTGAAAAGTTAAATATCTATAGCTAAAGTTTGTAGTCATAATTCTGCTATTTGTTTCTATTTTGAAGCTTTAAAAAGTTATATTTTTGTTGCCTGCTAATATAGCTGTTTTGTTTGATCATAATAAGTCGAAAGTTTATTGTTGTTGTAAAAAAGTTTGAGTATCTTTGTTATTAAGGTTTGTCTCTTAAAGCATTATGATATTTAGATTATAAGACTTAAAAAGAGTAAGAGTATTTCTTTGTTTTTGTTAATTGTTCAGTCCTTTAATATTTAGAGGTCTAATTTTTATCTTTAACTTTTTAAATATAAGTTCATAATTGTTGTTATCAATAATAACCATAGATGAAGTTCCCTTTTGTGCTGTTTCCTTGTCAGAAGTATTGGTATTTGTTGAACTAATTTTCTGAGTTTTTGAGTCTTTTTCCATATTTATATCTTTAGTAGTTAGAGTCAAATTCTTTGTTCTTTCTGATACACTAGCTTGAGTATTGTTACTTTTATTAGTTCTAGAGGTATCCTGTTGCTCTTTTGTAGAAGAGTTTTTAGGATGTTCATCTATATACATTTCTTAAGTTGAAGAAGAAGAAGTAGAAATAGATTCTTCATCTAGTGGGCTTGAGATAGGTTCTAAAGATTTTTCTTTATTCTTATTTCTTTGGTACTTCTTGAAATAGCAGTGAAGTGCTAAGGCTTCTTGATATTGTTCACAATCTCTTTTAACATAACCTTCTTTGTTACAGAAAAAGTAAACCTTAGAAGCTAACTTTCATTCTGTAGTAATTTTGTTTTCTAGCAGAATATAAAAGTAAGGAATTCTTTTTTCCAAGTTTGGGTCATTTGTAGTGTCAAAAATAATAACCTATTAGTCAGTTAAATAAGAGGTTTATTCAATTAAAAGTAGTTTGATTAATGCAATTTTCCTCACATCTTCAAAAGCTTCTTTAATAGCTTCAGAGACTAGGTTTTTTTCTTGTAAAAGAACATTCCTAATTTTGACTAGAAGAAATGATCTTCTATTATCTAAAGTGATAGAGCCAAAATATGTTTTGTTAAAGATATCTACTCCTTTGACTGCATATTCTTGTAATTTTTCTTTGTTGGCAAAAATAATTTCTAGATGAGTACAAGCTCCTCTATTAATATATGGTTTTGCTGCTACTATATTATTTTTCACATTATCATAGAGAGAAACCATAATATTATTTAAAGAACAGTTTTTTAAACTATTAATATCTAATACCAAAGCATTATCATTTTTGAATCTGATAATACTTCTTAGAGAATAAGAAGTAAAAGTAGATTAACCTCTTTTAACTTTAGCAAATAGGCTAGACTAGGATTTTTTTTGGTTCTCTTGAAAACTCAAGGAATTTGTAAGTATTTCTAGATGAGATTCATTTGTTGATTTGACATATATGTCTGTTGTTTTGATTACATCAGTATTGTTTTGCATAATATTATATGTTTTCTCACTTGTTGTTTTGTTTTCATTGTTTTTGTTTTTTCTCTCTTCTTGAGATATGTTGGTCTTTTCTTTTTTAAGCTCTCAGCTTACTTGTTCTTTCCAGTTAGAAGAGTTAGTTAATAGTTTTTTTTGTTCAGAGTTGTTGGAACTCATATCTTTTTTGCTAGTACTTGTAGCAGAGAGTAGATTTTCTTTGTTGCTATTGCTTGCTTGTGAACTTTTGAAGAGCATAATTTTTTTGTTTCTTGTAATTTCTAGACACCAAAGTTTACTTTTTTTGGAACTAGGGCTAAAGCTCAAGTTCTGTTAAAAAAAAATAGTCTTAGTTTTCTTAGTATTAGATATTTTGTAAAAAGTTTTTTACTCTCGAGCCTAACTTTATATGATCAGAAGAGAGTACATGTAGATCATTTGAATCATAAGTTTTTAAAAATCATACTAAACAAAATGAAATTTGATTCAAAAATAGTTAACCTGATTAAGAATCTCTTTTCTAACTATGAGGCCTATATAACCAAAGAAAACAATCTATCAGAACCTTTCAGAGTAGAAAAAGGTATCTGACAAGGTGATCTTCTCTTCTCTCTTCTATACATTCTAGCAATAGAACCTATGTTGTTAAGACTAGAAAAGGAAATCAGAGGAATACCTATAAGTGATCAATTCTTTAAAGTCATAGCATATGCAGATGATCTCACTATTAGTATTGGTTCAGCTTCAGATTAGAATACTATAAAACAGATTTTTATTACTTATAAACTAGCATCAAATGCAAAAGTTAATAGACATAAGACTAAAATAGTCCCCTTTACAGAGAATGCAAAAAGAGTAGAATTAACAGAAAAATAGTACTTTAAAAAGATAACAAAGTTTGAATCAAATTTCATTTTGTTTAGTATGATTTTTAAAAACTTATGATTCAAATGATCTACATGTACTCTCTTCTGATCATATAAAGTTAGGCTCGAGAGTAAAAAACTTTTTACAAAATATCTAATACTAAGAAAACTAAGACTATTTTTTTTTAACAGAACTTGAGCTTTAGCCCTAGTTCCAAAAAAAGTAAACTTTGGTGTCTAGAAATTACAAGAAACAAAAAAATTATGCTCTTCAAAAGTTCACAAGCAAGCAATAGCAACAAAGAAAATCTACTCTCTGCTACAAGTACTAGCAAAAAAGATATGAGTTCCAACAACTCTGAACAAAAAAAACTATTAACTAACTCTTCTAACTGGAAAGAACAAGTAAGCTGAGAGCTTAAAAAAGAAAAGACCAACATATCTCAAGAAGAGAGAAAAAACAAAAACAATGAAAACAAAACAACAAGTGAGAAAACATATAATATTATGCAAAACAATACTGATGTAATCAAAACAACAGACATATATGTCAAATCAACAAATGAATCTCATCTAGAAATACTTACAAATTCCTTGAGTTTTCAAGAGAACCAAAAAAAATCCTAGTCTAGCCTATTTGCTAAAGTTAAAAGAGGTTAATCTACTTTTACTTCTTATTCTCTAAGAAGTATTATCAGATTCAAAAATGATAATGCTTTGGTATTAGATATTAATAGTTTAAAAAACTGTTCTTTAAATAATATTATGGTTTCTCTCTATGATAATGTGAAAAATAATATAGTAGCAGCAAAACCATATATTAATAGAGGAGCTTGTACTCATCTAGAAATTATTTTTGCCAACAAAGAAAAATTACAAGAATATGCAGTCAAAGGAGTAGATATCTTTAACAAAACATATTTTGGCTCTATCACTTTAGATAATAGAAGATCATTTCTTCTAGTCAAAATTAGGAATGTTCTTTTACAAGAAAAAAACCTAGTCTCTGAAGCTATTAAAGAAGCTTTTGAAGATGTGAGGAAAATTGCATTAATCAAACTACTTTTAATTGAATAAACCTCTTATTTAACTGACTAATAGGTTATTATTTTTGACACTACAAATGACCCAAACTTGGAAAAAAGAATTCCTTACTTTTATATTCTGCTAGAAAACAAAATTACTACAGAATGAAAGTTAGCTTCTAAGGTTTACTTTTTCTGTAACAAAGAAGGTTATGTTAAAAGAGATTGTGAACAATATCAAGAAGCCTTAGCACTTCACTGCTATTTCAAGAAGTACCAAAGAAATAAGAATAAAGAAAAATCTTTAGAACCTATCTCAAGCCCACTAGATGAAGAATCTATTTCTACTTCTTCTTCTTCAACTTAAGAAATGTATATAGATGAACATCCTAAAAACTCTTCTACAAAAGAGCAACAGGATACCTCTAGAACTAATAAAAGTAACAATACTCAAGCTAGTGTATCAGAAAGAACAAAGAATTTGACTCTAACTACTAAAGATATAAATATGGAAAAAGACTCAAAAACTCAGAAAATTAGTTCAACAAATACCAATACTTCTGACAAGGAAACAGCACAAAAGGGAACTTCATCTATGGTTATTATTGATAACAACAATTATGAACTTATATTTAAAAAGTTAAAGATAAAAATTAGACCTCTAAATATTAAAGGACTGAACAATTAACAAAAACAAAGAAATACTCTTACTCTTTTTAAGTCTTATAATCTAAATATCATAATGCTTTAAGAGACAAACCTTAATAACAAAGATACTCAAACTTTTTTACAACAACAATAAACTTTCGACTTATTATGATCAAACAAAACAGCTATATTAGCAGGCAACAAAAATATAACTTTTTAAAGCTTCAAAATAGAAACAAATAGCAGAATTATGACTACAAACTTTAGCTATAGATATTTAACTTTTCAGCTTAGAACATCTATGCACCTTCTAGTCAAAGTGAATAATCAATTTTCTTCAACAATTGGTCCCCCAAGTAAAAGACAATATAATAAATATTATCACAGAAGACTTCAATATTAATATATATTCTGAATATGATAGAATTAGTGAGTTCTCTCCACAGTATGATCCAACTAGAGCTTAGCTTAAAGACCTTACAAAAAACTTTATTGACTCCTCAGAGCTTGCAACAAACAAACCATTCTATACCTTCTTTCAAAAAATAAGAGGAAACAGAATGATGGCAACTTACTTAGACTACATCTTTATAGATAAAAACTACACATACTCTATTCACAAAACTAATACCAAATTTAGTAATTCTAACTACCTTCTAGTAGAATGTATGCTAAAGTTTATACCAAATTCAAACAAGTCACCTTTATAGAAATTTGACAAAAACTGCTTCTATAATGAGAGACTAAAAAAAGAAATAATAGAAGAAATATAAGAAAATGAAAACACAAATAATTAGGACTTATACAAAATATATATCTAATCAATTATTAAGGCTTTCAAAAACCAAAAACTCTAGAAAGCAAAATATTGATACTCAACAAACAAATTACTCAGATAAACAAAAAACTTGCTGAAAACCCTACAAACGTATACCTTTCTGCTCAAGCAGACAATTTCAACTCCAAACTGCAAGAAGAACTCACCCTTCTAGCAGAAAAATGACAACTCTACTCTAAAACAAATGGATAGAACAAGGAGAAAAATTGACCAAATACTTCTTCTCAAAATATAAATCTAAGAAATCTCATTCAGCTCTTAGTGAAATTAAAGATCCTCTGAATACAGCTCAGAACAAAGATAATAATCTTTCTTACATAAGAGAAGAATACTCAAAAATTTACAAAAAAGAAGATATTAATTTAAATGCTGCAAATAAAATTATTAAAGAAGCTCTACAAATTACAGAGCTACAAAACTCCTCGTTAACACAAGAAATCTCTCTTAAAGAAATAAGAAATACAATTAGAAGCTTACTGAATAACAAGTCATCTGGCTCTAATGGTCTTACTTATGAATTCTATAAGCTTACAGAGAAAGTGATCACTCCTCTACTACATAATCTCTTTAATCAAGTACTACTCTCAGGTCTTCTATCTAAATCTTAGTGCAAAAACCTAATTACACTTATTCCAAAAAAATCTTCAGATTTAGAGAATCTAAATAACTAGAGACCAATTTCTCTAGTAAACAGTGATGCAAAAATTTTTATGAAAATTTTAGCAAATAGACTAAATATAATATACCAAGAAATAATCTCTTCACAGCAACAAGGTTTCGTTAAAAACAGATCAATATCAGATACTGCAATAGATATCATAACAATACTAAGAAATCAATAAGACAATACTAAGCAACACTAGATGCTTTTCTTGGATTAACAGAAAGTATTTAATTATATAAGTCATGAGTTTCTAGAACTAGTTTTAGAGAAAATGAATTTTGACAAGAAGTTTATCTCTTTAGTTAAAAACCTCTTCACAAATTAAGAAGCTCATATTCTTGAGACAGGAGAATTATCAAAAGCCTTTAGAATAGAAAGAGGAATAAGACAGAGGGACCTTTTCTTACCTCTTTTATATATACTTGCCTTCGAACCTTTGTTACTAAATCTGAAAAACAATCTACAAGGCATTAAACTAGGACATTAGTCTTTCAAACCTATAGCCTATGCAGATAATCTCACAGTAGGAATTAGCTCTCTCTCAGACTAGAAATACACTCTTAAGCTTCTAGAAACTTATGAACAGGCTTCTAATACAAGAATCAATAAAACCAAAACAAAATTAGCTCCTCTTATATCAACAGCATTCTGAGTAGAATTACCACAATCAAATGAACTACATGTAGTTAAAGAGAATGAACTCATAACAACACTAGGCTATAGTATTTACTCTAATGGTCTTCCTAAAAAGGACCTCTGGACATCTACTATAAACAATCTCAAATCCTCACTTGACAAACTTGTGAACAGAAATCTATCCTTTAAAGGGAAAATTCTGCTTGCCAAATTACTTATACTCTCTAAAATATGGTATATAGCTTACCTTCTCCTACCAAATAGGAAGCAGGTATCTGAGATAAATAGACTAACTTCATTATAGATCAAGAGTAATCCCATATGCTTCCAAGATATTCAGTTTTTCAACAATTATATGAGCAACTTGGTTTACAAGCTCCTATAATCAAAGATATGCTAGATGTGCGACTAATAACAGTTTGGCTTAAGCTACTCTTATCAGAGCACTTCTGAGCAAAACATGAAAGAGACAAAATCAAATTAATTTCTAGAGATAAAAGAGATACTTCACTATTACAAGTACTAACAGCTGATAATATCTGATCTAAAGCTTGGTCTACAGAATGAAAACTCTACTTTTTGGTCTGGAAAAGAGCAGAAGGCAAAATTTCAGCTAATACAAATTGGCTCTGAAACAAAGATAAAATTTTGCTAAGTAATTTTAAAGGATACGAAATTACAGTAAACAAAGTTTTACAAATATTTTGAAAGACAGAGCCTACTCTTTCTCAAGAATATACAATACTAGATCTATTAACAGCAAACTGGCTATCTACAAAAACTATTATAAACAAGAAAAAAGATATATACTGGTATCTTTTTCATAGATCTCATCTGCTTGGCTATAGACTCAAACACATAGAATCACTAGAAGCAGAATTTTGCCCTTGGTGTACTAAAAAACCTCAAACTCCAAAACATTTTAACTCTTTCTGCTTTTCTTCAAATTGAAGAATGCACAAATCTAAAATATTGGATAACTACATAAAAAATTCTTCAACAATACACTTTTTAGAGGCAACAAGCCTAAGAAACAAGAAAAGAAAACTACTAGCTATTAATATGAACAGCTCTAGAAACAAAAAACCTAGGCTTTCTAACCAAAATACTAAAAACAAAATCTTTAACCTTTCTTTGAACTAGAAAGAAACTTCAAACAAAACAGAACTAGGATACAACACAAGATCAAGCAAAAACTCAGAGACTAATTCAAACAAAGACCTCTATAAAAATACTAGCTAGGCTAATAATGTTAAACAAGAAATGTTATCAAATAACAAGAAAAACTCCTTTCCTGCTCAAACAAAAAAGATCGTAGCAAACAAAGAAAAAATAACAACTGATAATCTTTAACACATAGATTATTAAAACAAACACGTGGAATCAGACAAAAAACACGTGACTAAAAATCAAGATGATCTCACATCTCTTCTAAGCTCTAGTACTATAACAAACAGCCAGATTAATAATAATGAAGAGGCAAATACTTCTAAGCCCAAACAGTGGTCTGACTTGTTCACCAAGCTGAGAGGAGGCAAAGCAACTTTTGTCAAGCCTTCTCCTAGGTTCAAAATTCATTCTAAAAATAAAAACGCTTTCATCTTTGATATCCAAAGCTTAAGTAATATCATAACAAATGATATTATCCTAGCACTTGCCTCAAAGCTTGAAGACAAATTAATTGTAGCTAAAGCCCATATTATCAAAGGCAAAAGAGCTTACTTAGAAGTAATTTTCAATAACAAAGATACCCAGAAATATTACGAATACAAAGGAATTAATCTGTTCAAACAGACCCTTTTTAGCTATATTCCTATTAATTATGGCTGCACTTTTCTCTCAGTTAAACTTAGAAATACTCCAATGGGAGATAAAGAAAACAAAAGTACTCTCATTATAGAAGCCTTCTAGGATCTTGGTCAGATCACTTCAATTAAACTATTACTTTTTGAAGGAACTTCAGTCTGCTCAGACTAATAGATTATCTCTTTTGAAACAACAGACGATCCAGACCTGTCTTCAAGAATCTCTAGAAGCACTCATGTAAGAGATCATAAAGTCACTACAGACTGGAAAGAAGCTCCAAAAGTGTGTTACTACTGCAAAAAGGAGAGACATGTCAAAAAAAACTATGAAGATCTTAAACTCTCAATTGAAATGAGACGTACTCAAAAAGAGAAAAGAATGCAAAAAAACAAACCTAGCTCAAACTCAATCTCAGAATTTAGCAAAGATAATCCTTATATCTCTAACTCTGCAGCAAATACTAAAAAGTCTAATGATTCAGCATACTTCTACTCCCCCAGCTAACTTGAACCAACCTTTCTCAGAGTTACTTGAAGGAAACTCAGTTCAAAATAACTAAGAAAATAACTTAGAAACCCAAGAGCTAATGATTACTGAATCCTTCTCCTTCACTTCTCCAAAAGCAGTGAATGAGAACCCAAATACTGAGCAAGACTTAGACTCTATGGAAATTAATGCAGATAGTAACTCAAAAGAAGAACCTTTCACTATCGCTATCTCAAAGAAATCCAGAAAAATGATAAAAAAAAGAGATCAAAGTCATCCTAAACCAACTGGATCACTAAGAAAAAGAGACCTCTCTTCGGACAATGAAATGAAGGGCAAATGCCATCAGGAGTATTAAAATACTCAGAAGTACCAAATCTCTTTAATCACTCTCTAATATAAGCAAAATCAAAATAGAAACTCTAAATATCAAAGGCTTAAACAATAAGTCTAAAGTACAAAAAACACTTACTCTTTTAAAGTCATATAAACTAGATATTATTTTTTTGCAAGAAACAAATCTAACAGATACTGCAATTAGAAATTTTTTATCACAACAATAGAACTACAACTCAATTTGGTCTTCCAAAACAGCTATTCTAGTTGGAAACAAAAAAATCCAATTCTCTAACTCTCAAGAGTTCTTAGATGGACATATACTTCAAACAAAAACCTTATTTCAACACTACAACTATTTTATCACCAATATCTATGCTCCTCTAAGACAAGATGAAAGAAGAAATTTTTCAACAACTGGGCCCCAGCAAGAGATGAGGATGTAGTGAACATTATTGCTGGTGATTTTAATATTAATACCAATTCAGACAAAAATCGAATTAGTTAGGCTTCTTCCCAAAAAGATCTCTCCTGTGATTTGCTAAAATCTCTTATAGCAGATTTTATTGATACTGCAGAGTTTGCCAAACTTGGGCCTTTTCTAACATTTTACTAGACCATTCAAGGTAATCAGAAAATAGCTACACAACTAGATTATATATTTATTGACTCAAATTATAGCCAATTCTGCAAGAACACTTGTACTCGTTTTGGAAACTCTAATCACCTTCTTGTTAAAAGCGAACTAGCTTTTAACTCAGAACCTACACATAGCTCTTTCTGGAAATTTAATAGAAAATACTGGTCAATCCCAAATCTCAAATCAGAAATCCTCAGAGAAATCAAAAATATATAAGACATTAACAACTGGAACTCCTACAAAACTACCTTCCAGTCTATATGCAGAGTCTTTAAGCAAAAACTAGTACCAGAAAAAGCTATACAAGCTATTCACAAGAGATTAACTGCAATCAATAACAAGATAGCTAGAAACCTAGCTCTAGCAGACCTTCAACCTTCAGCAGAAAATTTTAAATTACAACTACAAGAGGAACTTACACTTTTGTCAGAGAAATAGCAAATCAGATCTAACACTAAATAGATAGAAGAAGGAAAAAAATCTACTAAATACTTTTTTTCTCTTTACAAAGCTAGACATTCTTCCTCATGCAGTATCAGAATAGCTGATCCAAATAATATTAGCTCCTCAGATCCAACAGCCTTGCTCCAATATATAAGAAACTCCTATTCAGATATCTATAAAACAGACCCTATCGATCTTGAAGTAGCAAATGAGTTAACACAGAATCTCTCTGAAATTTTGTCAAAACAGAATCATTCCTTAACAAAAGTCATAACAGAAGAGGAAATCAGTAATATTATTAACTCACTTCCAAACAACAAATCACTAGGACATGATAGTCTAACCTACAAATTTTATAAGGATACCAAGAAGAAAATTCTTTTATCTTGTCTAAGCTTTTTAACCATGTACTTAATAGTAGACTCAGTTCTCAATCCTGGAGTAAAAGCATTATTACTCTTATCCCAAAGAAAACTAATAATCTAGAAGATATTAACAACTGGAGACCAATTTCACTCATGAATGAAGATGCAAAAATCTTTATGAAGATTTTAGCAAATTGCTTTAATTCAATATGTAATAGCATTATTAGCCTTTCACAACAGGCTTTTATAGCTAACAGATCAATCATGAACTCTGCTCTAGATATTATCACAGTGTTAAGGAATCAAAATAATCAATCAAAACAACATTGGCTCCTTCTTCTTGATCAACAAAAAGCTTTTGATCATATTAACCATCAATTTATCAAGCTTATTCTAGAAAAAATAAATTTTAACTCAAAGTTTGTGAATATAATTAAGTTTTTATTCTCAACTCAACAAGCTTATATCTTAGATCAAGGTAGAATCTCAAAATCTTTTAGAGTCAAAAGAGGAGTTCGACAGGGTGATCCACTTTCTCCACTACTTTATGTTCTGGCAATAAACCCTCTTATCTAAGCAATTCATGATAACATTAGAGGTATCTACCTCCAAGAACTTCTTTTATATCTTTTACTACTACAACCCTTTCTCTTTCTAACGGCGTCTTAACCATCTTCCGAAACTTTACCGGGACCAAAATTTCTTTATCCTCCCATAAGAGAGTCATCTCCGATTTGGTCCAGTCGATGTTAGCATTTACTTTAGCTAACCAGTCGTTGCCTATGATTGCACAATATGAGCTCGCATCGGTTATAACAACATCAATGGGAATTTTTACTCCACCAATATTAAACGGAAAATTTGAGATCTCTCCTATAGCACGTTTACTCTCCCTGTGAATATTAATCATACTAACCACGGATGGCTTCTCAATTCTTATTTCAAGATCATTAAGCAAATGAGAGGAAACAACACTACCTGACGAACTACTATCTACAATTAATGGGATTGTCTTATCATAAACTTTAGCATCACAATACAAGGCTGTTGACTTTGAGGTAGGTTGTACGTTAATATTAGCTTGGGTCTTTCTCATAACAATTGTTCTTTTCTTTTGTAATGACCTGGTTAACTCCTGCCTTAAATTAGGCACTACTCTTAACAATTGGCTGACGGTAATATTAGCAGGCTTATCCCTCAAATCGGCTACAATAGAATAAGGGGTAACCAAAGACGAAATTTGGGGCAACTCTTCTTCAATTATCTTTTGACGAGGTACAGGGGCTTTCTTAAGCGTTTCTTTTGGTTTTTCTTTCTTAACAATTTTGGGTGGACCTTCCGGTTCTTTTTCTTTTGGACTTGGGTTATTTTGATCTTGATGATTTTGATCTTCTTCCATTTCTACATCAGGATCTACAACTTCCTCGGTTTCCATATCAATCAAGTCTTCTTGATTTGACTCGCCATCCTTCTTCCGAAGTATTGAGGTACCACTTATAGGCTTTTGGCGAGTATGTCTTTCAGCTAGGAGGAATAAAGTCTTATCTTCCTCATTAATACCCAAATACGAGGATTGGTTTTCCGGAGTACTTGTAGAATTATTAATTAGCGATAATAGGGCTTGGATAGTATCTTGGGGATTGGTTTCAGGGGGATTATTAACAGGATTGGGTTCGTTATTATGGTTTTGGTTATTTTGATTATTTGCTAACAGAGGTCTATTTCTATTAGGGTTATTATTAAGCAGGTTAGGAGAGTCGGGGCAGTTCCGGCTATAATGTCCAGGTCTACTACAATTAAAACAGGTAACACCTTGTAGTACATAATTTCCTGGTTGTCTTAGTCGGGATGGTCTATGCTGATCTTGAATTTGAACCATTAGCTTATTAATAGAATCGGTTAAACTCTTTAGGGCTTCAGTGGTCTCATTAGGAGTAGCTTGAATTACGGGAGTATTGTTAACAGTGCAGGGAAAACTATAAGGTAGATAGTTTATAGTTTGAGATGAATAAGCGGCATAAGCAGGATTATGCTTATAAGCACTCTCAAACGCTTTTGCCCTAGTATAGGCTTCATCTAGATTATTCGGAGTTAAGGGAGACACTGCCATAAATAATTCGGAACGGAGTCCATTAACGAACATTTGAGCCTTCACCGTATCTGGATACTGATGTCCACCAGACTCTACACGTCTAATCATTTCTTCTATTGAAGTGTGATAAGCATCCACACTTTCCCCAGGTAATTGTTTCCTTTGGGTCAATTGGGCAAACCATTTACCCTCAAGTTCCGGAGTTCTAAACTTGGCAACAAAGTTTGCTGTAAAACTTTGTTGTGGTGTTAAGGGATCATGCCATCTATCTATTAAAGGATTTTGAATCCTTTGGGTAACCCACCAAGTGGTAGCAGGACCTTTTAACTTCGGGATAATTACGGAAATTTTTCTTCTATTCAGGATTATATTAGCTTCGAAGGCTTTTTCAACGTCTTCGAGCCAAGTTATTGGATCTTGATCACCCCCGTGGAATTCAGGATAAGGTATCGTATTAAGTTCCCGGGGATTTGCAGGAAGATTAATTTGTGGAGGTGGCATAGCTTGCATTTGTTGTACCAACAAAGCAATCTGGTTGGCTAAATTATGTAACGGGTTATTCGGGTTGAACTGGTTTTGTTGAGCTGGAGGTTGAGCCATTCTTACAGTTTTCGTATTTTAATTGGTTTATTAACTATATTCTTTGATTGTTCAATTCCACACAATCGGCACCAAATGTCACTATTGATGGGAGAGCAAAAACAACAGTTGGTCCAATTTAGCTTCAATAGTAAACGGGATATATTATCTAAGATTTATATCGAAGATTAATAAACAAAAGGAGAACCAAGCACGATGGCTTATATTATGGGTTTATGCACGCGAGATCAGGTAATTTATCAATTTAAGGAATCCAATCACTATTAATTAATATTGATGGATTTAATTTAAAATTTAACAAATACTAAGTCTAAGGGGTTAAATTACAAGTAACACGAAGACAACAATAACGAATTTTTATAGGTAACGCGATTATAAGTAACAATGCAAAAACTAACAACAATTGAGAAGTCGATTCTTTTATCACTTTAAAGACACCGAAGTCTGAACTTTATTCAAGTGCGGAAAGGCACTCTTTTTATATCTTTATGATACCATAAAAATACAACGAGTTTTTTTATTCACAAAAACTTAATTTATACAGTTCTGTTCAGAGCTATTTACGCTGCCAGTGCCTATCTTACAGTCCTGTTCAAATCACAAACAAAATTTAAATACAATATATATAAAAGGATAAAAGAAAAAAACTAAGCACAAAACAGTTCTGTTCGCTAATAACAATAAAAGAAAACTTAAAGAGACAAAAATAAATATATAAAAGAAAATATGAAATAAGCAAAAATAAAATAAAATAAACATCAAGCAGTTCTGTCCTAACGCCACCCACCCAGCCCATATAAACTTGGAACAGTTCTGCTTTCCAAGCCGCAACGAAGTAGTTTAAGCCACTTATTAATTACTCCGCCAAAGTTACAAGTTTCCAACCTGTGACACTATCTAATTCATCTGAAATATTTCGAAGTAATTGCAATTTAGCCTGCCAAGTAAGTTCTCTAAAATTATTTCTTAAATATTTATGAAGACTTCCTTTGTCAGCATACTGAAACACCATCAAATATTTGTTTGTTTTTGTATTTCTAGTTATTCCATAAATTGCAAGATTGCTATAATTTATTTTACATGTCATATGACTTTTAAACTTTTAAAAATTTATAACGAATTAGTTCTATTAAATAAATAAATAAATATTTAAGTTACATCGAATTAACTTACTTCTTTCAAGAAATCAAAATTATTTTCCTTAATATCGGCCAAGGTCTTGAGTGCAACGATGCTGGTTGGTTTACGTGCTCTTTTATTTTCATTTTCATCGATTTTTCGTATGCCATCCATCCAAGTTGCAGAATATACAGAGCCAAATCCACCTTTGCCGATTTCGTTAACATCGGATAATCTATCAAATTGAATCCATTCAATTGCATCTTCGTATTGCACGGCTCTAAGTTGAAATTCTCTAATACAATCATCAATATTTTTGTTTCTACTTGTCCATCCTTGTGCTGTGATGTCGG